CGTGGCTGATTATACAACAATGCTCCCATATTCTCTTTTGCATGCCAGTACTTTGAGAAATCATCGAATTTAACATCGTTACTCTAGCCCGGCAGAGTCAGCTTCAGGCTTAATTATGTGGAGTCATTTTGGCTAACATGACATCTGAAATAATGACTTGGGAACACATCTAAAGTAATGGAAAATTGGAAATAAATTGGACATCATTTGGACTTTTTTGAGTAACTTAATAAAGGAACCCTATGAAATTGTCCATGTTCTTCCCCAGAGTGAATGCAACTCAATCTAAGAGCTTCGACGCACTATATCTTCTCCCTCAACGTGTTTTCACTGTCTTCATTAAGTTTTCTCATTTTGTCCTCATTTTATGTCTCTCAATACCCCTCTCTCATCCTCACCTTCATATAGGTCGTGAAATAGACCGGCCCCTATTTGTAAATTAAGTCACAATTTTAGATGCCATGTCAACCAAAATATTGCACGTGATTAAGCCCGAAATTAACTCAACCAGGTTGAAGTAACAATGTCAAATTGGGTGATTGTTTGGAGTATTGGCATGCCAAAGAGAATCTGGAGGTAATATTGTGTAATCAGCCAGATATGGGAGTATTAGTGTGAATTTATCCTAATATTATCATCATTTCAATATTTTGAACTGGCAATTGGAGTGCATTAATGTGCTTAGAAGTCAGCACATAATGAATGCATTATGCTGCAGAGATCAGAACTGATCATCTCTTGAATAGGTCATTGGAGCAAGAGTTTACTTCTGGAACTTCGTTATTAATGAGGAATACATTAACTAAAGCCGGAAAGCTTGGCCTTATTTTGCTTGAGGATTTGGCATCTCTTGCAGCAAGTGGTTCTGTATGTGTCCACACAAATTTTATCTTTTTTCGTTGGTCAAGTTTTGATTTTGTTCTACATTATTGCCAGTTTGAGATCATTAAACTTGTATGGTTATCAATTGTAAAATTAAGTCATTATGAAAGGTTCCTGGATAATTGATTGGCTTATTGTTCAGGCTAATTGGTTAGGAGTCAGCTCCCTCCAAAGAACGTTTGTGCTTGACATACTTGAGTAAGAAGACTACTACCTTTTAAAGCTGGATTGAATTTTTATAACTTATAACATTTCCTTGGTGTTTCTTAAGTGTCCATATGAAAAGCTGCAAAAAAAAAAATACGAGTAATTTTTTGGTATTGTTTGAAAGTGTTCAGGGGCTTTGATGTTTATATTCTGTAGCATCAAGAACCTTCTTTGATGAGAAATTCAAGGAAACACATTTGATCAAACTTATTCGTATCTGGAATTCATGTTTGCAATCAATTTATTTGTATTTTAAATCCTTCTTGATGGCTATTTAGGTTTATTCTGTCCAATTATGTGGTGTTATTCCGAACCTTGATTCCATACGAGGAGGTGCTGATTTTACTACAATTTATTAATATATTACCTTTATTAGCATTTTTACTGTTTTTGATTCCTAAACACCCTAATGAAACTTATAGGTTCTCCGACACCAGATATGTTCGATCCTAATGACATCACTTCGTACTGATTCTGAGGTGAAGCTTCTGTTAGTCTCGTTGAAGTGTGATATCATAAAATCAAATTCCTACATACTGAATTTTTGTTTATTTAACTTGATTGATCTGCTCATAAAAAAACTTGATTGGTCATTATTCTTAGTTTCCTTTCCTCATTATTTTCCTTCATCACACAGTTTGAAGGAGAAACTGGAGAACCATATTTCCGTAGGTTG